TCTAGCTAACTGAGCGGGCTGGACGAGTCCCTCAATGAACCTCCTCACTCTCTCTCACGGTGGGAAGTATGATAAGAGCATGACGAGCCAAGTCGATGAATCTGATCTCGTACTGAGTAACAGTCATAGAACCCTGCTGGGGACGCTCAACTGCCTCTGATAGACCTCTCTCTGAGTGATGGGGAGAAACTTCTCCAGAAATAACTGCGTGAACTGTTCTCAAGTCAAAGCTGGTGACCTAACTGGTATAGCCAATCAATAATCTCTCCAACAGGTCTTGGTGGATCCAGACAAGCGAAAGGTAGCAAAATCGATCCCATTGGTCTCCACGATCCCCATGTTCTTGAGAACCTCATGACAACTGTCTAGATAATCCTGGGGATCCTCAGTAGATGCACCTCTGAATGTAGTAGTGAAGAGCTTGGTGAAACTTATCCAACCTCCACAAAGCCTCCGAAGACGTAGCTAATCTATCACCGGTCTGTGCTGCTGCTCAGCTGAAGAAGCGGTACATGACCTCGCCATTCGCGAAGGGACAAGAGTAGAGGTTTCAGTTTAGTATTTGAGAAACAAACCGCACGATAGGAAAGAACAAGTGTGAAGTTTTCCTAACTCCGTAGCCTTTGAGGGATAAATACAGACGTCTCCGTACCGATCCCTCAGACTCTACCGAGCTTCTCTGTGAATTGTGAGACCTATGTAACCTAGAGCTCTGATACCAACTTGTCACGACCTGGATTTCCCCACCCTCGGGGGTCGTGATGGCGCCTACTCGTAGAAGCTAGGCAAGCCACAAATCATAAACTCGTACCTACTTTATTTTAAATCCTTTTATCAATCATAACAACAAGAGTTAAATATTTAAATGACAGCGGAATATGAAATTAAAGCGGAAGACTTAATTAAATAAGCTGAAAAATAATGCGGAATTCAACATGTGCCTCTACCCAAGAACTGGTGCCACATCATCCACGGACTACTAAGAGTACTAAATACAATCGTTTGAAAGAAATATAACACTGTTTGTCTCGAAAACATGAGATAACAGAATAAAATATAAGATAGAGGAGACGCCGGGCCTGCGTACGCGTGCAAGGCTACCTCAGAGTCTCGGGGGACCAAAGGCTGGCTCCCGAGCTACTGCTGCTGTCCGGGGCTTGGATCTGTGCAAAAGAGCACAGAGTGTAGTATCAGCACAACCGACCCCATGTGCTGGTAAGTGCCTAGTCTCACCTCGGTGAAGTAGTGACGAGCCTAGGACCAGACTACCAAATAAACCTGTGCAGTTATAAAATGTACAGCGGAAAGTAAAGCAGGAATAAACAAGTAAGGATGGGAGGGGGAAACATGTTGCGGGGAGATAACAGTTGAAACAGACTCTCAAGAGAATTATCAGGAAACCAAAATTCAACTTCTAACAAGGATAAGGAAAACAAAGGTAGGTTTCACTCTCGGTTCACAGCTCGTTGGAGGCGTGCAACCCGATCCCATTTCATTATATCTCGTGGTAGGCGTACCGCCCGCTCCCATTTCACTAAATCTCGTGGTAGGCGTATCACCCGCTCCCATTTCATTAAATCAACAGTTCTTCCAAATAAAATTTACCCCAACAAACGCAACAATTAATACGATTTCATAAGACAACAAGTACACAATAATTATGAATCACTGAGGAAAACAAGTAATGACAAGTAGCAATTAATTACGGACTTTATGGAGCAAATAGACAATTTAATACTTAGCATGCTAAATGTCAAGTAGCAATTAAGTCACATAAACATGTAGCAATTATAGCATAAATTCAAGGCATAATGTTGCGCAAGGATACCTCGAGCCAACAATAACAAGTAACACAATAAAGGAAAATGCCAACATAAAGAATCACAGTAATAGTGGAATAAGTCAATTAATGCACTTGAACCGATAACAACAAGAAAATCAGTAAATAAAAGTAGAAGACAACATAACTCAATTATCAGCAAGAATCAGGAAAATCAAAGACAAGTGCACGACATCATCCTTCGTGCTTTTACTCTCGTCCTCACCAAGCAATAATATAATGAAAACCTGCACGACATCACCCTTCGTGCTTTTACTCTCTTTCCTCACCAAAGCAATTAGATTATAAAATGTGCACGGCATCACCCTTCGTGCTTTTACTCTCTTTCCTCACCAAAGCAATTAGAATAATAAAATGTGCACGGCATCACCCTTCGTGCTTTTACTCTCTTTCCTCACCAAAGCAATTAGAATAATAAAATGTGCACGGCATCACCCTTCATGCTTTTACTCTCTTTCCTCACATATAATCAATAGAATTGGCACGGAATGGTACATCGTGCGGCACGACATCACCCTTCGTGCTTTACACTCTTTCCTCACAATAGCAAACAATGCACGGCATCACTCTTCGTGCCTTAACACTCTTCCTCACCCAAACAACAATCACAAACAAGGGCAAGGGAAATAAACAAGAACATATAGGAATCCCGGCAAGGGAACAACGATTTAAGAATTAAATCCCGGCAAGGGAGCAACAAGTAAATAATTAAATCCCGGCAAGGGAACAACAATTAAAAAATTAAATCTCGGCAAGGGAACATTTCAATAACTCGTTTCTATCTTTCACTTGTACTTCATAACTCACTTTACCACTTGAGCAATTGCTCCAAAGGGTTCAATCATCTCATATACTTTCACAATTCATAATATAACTCGAGCCAATGCTCCAAAATGCTCAAAGGTCTCAATTCCTTCCACGAACTTTTCACAACAACTAGAAATCATCACCAAAGCATGAAGAATACAACGAAATCATGAAAATCACAATATAAGACTCACGGTCATACTTGACACCAATGTATAGATACTCGTCACCATGCCTATACGTCGTACTCAACAATTATCACATAGCAAATAGGACTCAACTCCTAATCCCTCAAGCTAAGGTTAGACCAAACACTTACCTCGATGCCTTGAACACAACTCAAGTCTCAATTATAGCTTTACCCCTTGATTCCACCGCCAATTCGCTCGTATCTAATCACAAATTACATAATTACATCAATAAGTGCTAAATGAATCAACCCCAATGCATGAAAATGAGTTTATCCAAAGTTTTACCCAAAAAGTCAAATCGCCCCTGGGCCCACGTGGTCAAAACCCGAGGTTCGAACCAAAACCCGATTACCCATTCCCCCACGAACTCAAATATGTAATTTGTTTTAAAATCGGACCTCAAATCGAGGTCCAAATCCCCAATTTTTAAAAAACCTAGGTTCTACCCAAAACACCCAATTTCCGCCATGAAAATCTTTGATTTTTGGTTGAAATCATGTTAAAAGATGTTAATGATTGAAAGAAATGAGTAAAAACTAACTTACAATTGATTTGGAAGAAGACTTGTTCTTGGAAAATCGCCTAAGTGTGTTTGGGTTTGAGAAAATATGAAAAATGAAGCTCAAAATCGTTTAAGTGTAAAAATTGCAGGTCTCTGATATGGGAAATGCGAATAGGGGTTCGCAATTGCGAACCCCGACCTCTCAGATGTGGGAATTGCGAAACAGGGTTCGCATTTGCGAATCCTTCATAATTCTCCAGGTTTCGCATTTGCAAAGGAGCTGTCGCAATTGCGACATCGCATTTGCGAATGAAGGATCGCATTTGCGATACATGCTGAACAAGGGAGGTCTCGCATTTGCGAAGGGGAAGCTCGCATTTGCGAGAAAAGGGTGGCCTGGGCTGGCTTCGCATTTGCGATCCGGCCTTCGCAGTTGCGAACTCGCATTTGCGAACTCGCATTTGCGAGCCAGGCTTCGCAAATGCCTGCAGGCCTGAACACACCAGCATCTTTTTTTAAGTTCAAAAAGCACCCCGTGGCCTATCTAAAACTCACCCGAGCCCTCGGGGCTTCAAACCAAATATACACACAACCTCAAAAACATCCTACAGACTTGTTCGTGCGATCAAATCGCCAAAATAACATCATTAACATCGAATTAAACCTCAAAATCCAAGAATTCTTTCAAACTTCATAAAACATCAAATTTTCCAATTTAGGTCCGAATCATGTCAAACGACGTCCGTTTTCAACCAAATTTCACAGGAAGGACTTAAAACAAATATAAGACCTGTACCGGGTACTGGAACCAAAATACGGGCCCGATACCATCGCTTTCTAATCAGATTTCATTTCTAATTTCCTTAAACAATTTCAGAAATAATTTTACAAAAAAATTTATTTCTCGGGCTTGGGACATCGGAATTCGATTTCGGGCATACGCTCAAGTCCCATATTTTCCTGCGGACCCTCCGAGACCATCAAATCACGGGTCCGGGTCCGTTTACCCAAAACGTTGACCAATGTCAAATTTATTCATTTTAACATCAAAACTTAGCATTTTTCACAGAATTTCATATTTAAGCTTTCTGGCTACGCGCCCGGACTGCGCACGCAAATCGAGGCGACTCTAAATGAGGTTTTCAAGGCCTCGAAGTCATAGAATTTAATTTAAAATAAGTGATGACCGTTTGGGTCATCACAAATCTCTTGAATTCCTGCCCGTGCCTGTTGTATCTCGTGCCTCTTTAACTATTCTTTGCCAATTGTCATCCTTTGACCAGTCTACGTATCGTGACATGTCACTTTTCAATCAATTCTATATATGAACTTAATTTTTCCCAATACAATATCTAGGTTAATATAATTCTAAAAATAATCCAAGTATAACATATTTGCTATAGATTACAGAGGGCGGACCTAGGATTCGACCGTCATAGGGGCATCATGACATTCAATATAAATTTATCACTGCTCATAAAGATTGGTACAGGGGCCTATGCTAATATCTGACTATTTCTTGAAGACATTTGCAAGTATACATGAAGTTTTTGCCAAAGTCTCCGGGTGCTAGTGACCCGTCTTCCTATAGTGTGCGTGCGGCTTCGCTATAGTAAGGGATTTAAAACACACATTTTGGTTAATTCTAAGTGCAATATGCTTAGTGTGAAATATTACAAGGAGCAAAGTCAGGATCTATCAGTAACGTAGAGATAAAAAGTGCGATTATCTCGTACCTACAAGGTTGATACTGATGACTTTTTCGAATTCGGATTTCTTTATCAAGAATGTTAGATTTTACTGCTCCCATAATACCAACATTGTTGTACATGATCTCTAGCTTGCCATACTTGTCTACAGCAATGTTCACAGCATTTTCTAGATCTTCTTCTTTTGTAACGTCACAATGCACAAATGTGGTAGATGTTGGATCCAATTCTTTGCAAACTTTATGTGCCAAATCATCTTGGATATCTGCAATCACCGCTTTAGCTCCATGTCTTGAGAAAAGTCTTGCAGCTGCTTCACTGATGCCGCTAGCGGCACCTGTTATAACTGCAACTTTACCTTCTAACCTAAAATAATTGATAATGATCATGCATGTTATCTTTAATATTTCACCTCGAGTTAAAATTAAAATAATAGTGTAAAAACTCTTTATAATATGTATCGGTGTATATAATTTAAAGCTTTCATTTTATAAGTAGTGTTCGTGTAAGATTTACACATAGTGTAAATTAGACAAAGAGATAGAAATAAGAAAGAATGCAATAGTAAACATGTTTAAATCAATCAAATAGAAAGGGGATGTTACATCTTAAACTTTAAACATTTATTCCTGTTTAAGTAAAAAAGACAGGTTAAACAATAAAGTACAAGAAAATAAATGAAATACTCATAAGTTCTCACTATTCATATCCTTGGAGGCTTAATGATAGTAACAAATTTTGGCCATTTTGGCAACAAATCCTTTATTGATCCCAATTCTGCTCCAAGAAATAAAACCAATAATATAATAGAGAGGAAGCTGTGGAGAAAAAAGATAAAGCATATTCATATTTTGTAGAGGCCAAATTTCAATTTTGAGTTTTCAAAAGGGTTAAAGTTACCTAAACCGATAATAAAAAGAATTTTTACACTATGATATAACTTAACTTGATATAATAGGTTGTTACTCTATTTTTCAAATTGCTACATATACATACTTGTTACGAATAATTACATGTTGTTGTATGTCAAGTTTAACATAATGGTGTAAAAATCCTTATACACGATCAATGAACAAATTCTTTCAAAAATTATTATGGACAAATATTACATGACAGAGTGACTAGAACATGTACTACTCTTTATTTGGGCACGATTCATACTTATCTAAAACATTATAGCAGCAAGGAACGTCTTACCTTCTTGCCAAATGTGCAGCCATTGAAAAATGTATTAGCCCTCAAAGACTTCAAGTGGAACAAAAAAGCAATATTGCATGGACACGTGATATATCATAATGATTCGACAAATTGCGCTATTATTATATAAAGAATAGGGCAGAAGGATTATTAGCCACAGAAATGCTATGTGGGCCTTGCACCAGAAACTGAAAGGTCTTACTACAGAGCTAAATAGGCGGTCCAGGGGATATAGTGGATGTGTTTGAAAGGTCAAAGTCTTGGAGAATGAGACCATAACGTATGAAGAGGCACATGAGCTATATGTCTCTAACCACAATTACAAGGAGGCTCACCGGCTGATCCAGAATTTGAAGGTGGGGTACATGAACAGACTGTTCAACTAGTGGCCTCGTTGGATATTAATTTTGATCTCAAAGATTACAAGCAAAATATATGACCAGTTTTAATATATATTTGAAATTTTTGCCGACGTTAATAGGGTCTGGTGATCCTCTAATCTATACGTAGGTCCGCCTCTGATGGGAGGTCCTTCATAGAGCATAAGCAGAATACAAGATGAAGGATTCTATTCTCAAGTGAAAAAGCTAGAATTACATGGGCTGAAGAGGGAGATACTAACTCCAAGTATTTTTACTGTGTATTAAAGAGAAGAGGTGGAGTTCACATATTCATAAAATCAAGGATAGCATGGGATTTGGGTAGAGGAGAAACAAGAACTCTTAGATCACTACTAGAAATTCGGGAAAAACCGTCCACAAAAATCGATCAAAGTTGGTTGGTAATGACCAATAACCGTCCAAAACGCAACCATTAACGTGTGGTCGGTATTTTGAAGGTCGGAAGAGCACACCCGACCAAAGTCGGTCGGTCGGAAATTATAGACCATCATTGGTCGGTATGCTCTACATGACCAACTGACAATTAATTGACTTTCCGACCAACATTGGTCGGAATGTTATTTTAATAATTTAATTTTACCGACCAACGTTGGTCGGTGTTTTAAATTTATTAATTTTGCTTAACAAAAACGGTATTGAAAAATATCTTTTTTATAAATAATTAAAATTTAAAAATACCGACCAACGTTGGTCGTCAATCTGGATAGGACAGACAACTTACCGACCAAAGTTGGTCGGTAATGTTGAATTTCACGGAATTCAATGTGCATTAACAGACCAACATTGGTCGGTAATTTGCAATTTAAATTTTTTACCGACCAAGGTTGGTCAATTTTCTGGGATTAATTTTGGCAGAAAAAGCCTGTTTTGGTAGCTACACCACCTACAAAATAAAAACAGCATACTAATACCCCAATTCATATCTAATAACCACCAATTTACCACATACAATCCCTAATTCACGACAAATCCAACCAAACATGCAACAACAACTAAACATCCAATTAAAACTTTAAAACTAACAAATTAAAGTTCAATTAAACATCACAATCCAAAACCAAGCAAAAACTAAGTAATTACAACAAGTTCAAAATTGTTCAATCTAATTCAAAACTAGTTCTATTAGTCTAGTTCAAAGTATATCAAAGTATTGGTCAAGGGGTGTTTTCTACAACATCATCACCATCTGATGAACTTTCATCTACGAGACGGTATAGAGAACGGTCTTATGGAGGACAGGAAGAATGATCACGGGACGGACAGGAGGAACGATCACGGGGAGGACCAGAGGAAATGATCACGTATAGGCCGAGCCTCTGGCGATGACTCACGAGATCGGGGCAACGGAAAAGCTCCAGTAGAAAGGAGAGTTCTGATCTGAGCTTGCATACTAAGGAATTGAGCATCTCTAAGCCTTTCTCTTTCCTTGGCCGCTTCTAGCTCGGATGTAAGCTTTGTCACTGTCTCCTGCATAGCCGAGAGGGTCTCCCTATTAAGTTCCTCGCCCTGTGAGAAAGCCCCAATTCCTTGCACTCCACACTTATAGCGATGGATTTTTTTTCTCAGGAAGCCCGTATACCTTTCCCCTTTTTGGACCGGCAACAGCCTTTAACCATATTCTTTCAGCATTCTCGTCCGGAGGTTGGGTTGGCTTGCCCGATTCACCAGCTGGCTGACTATGAATGAATTCCTCCACATTACTTTTGTAGCGACCCTACATTATTTTAAATTAAAGTATTTAAAAATTCTTATAAACGTAAATTATTACACTTAAAAAAAATTGAAAGCTTACATATGCAGTCTCTGCCCGTTCCTCGACCCACCTATCTCCATCCCTCCTATTTCTTCTTCTTTAAAATATGCGTCTCCTTGAATAGCTCATCATGGCTCATTGGACGCCCATACTTTTTTTCCTGAAAACAAATTAATATAGTTTATAAATAGAATTGATATACTTAGAAAAGTAAAATTATTTAAGCAATTACCAATCTTCTTCTTATTGTCCGATGCTGAAGAAGCCTCCCTTCTCGGAAGAGCGAGATTTCTTTCTGTAATGACCTGACCGGTCGTTTAGAGCTTTTGCACTTTGCTCGCCAGTTCTCGGGAAAGACTTGCTCCGTGTGATACATTACGACTTATGTAAACAGTTGGTTTTGGTTTTCAGGGTAATCAGAATGAATTTGGAAGAACGGTTCTCAGTTTGAAGCTTGAAATTTGAAAGGTTTGACCGAGATTTGACTTGTTTGTATATGACTTCGGATCGGAATTTTTATGATTTGGTTAGCTCCCTTAGGTGATTTGAGACTTGGGAGCATGATCGGAATGCATTTTGGAGTCCGTGGAAGGTTTAGGCTTGAATTGGCGAAATTGAGATTTCGGCATTTTCCGGTTGTTAGGTGATGTGTGTGCAAAATTTCAGGTTATTCAGACGTGTTTTGGTTGGGTTTTGATCAAAAGCGGAATTCGGCAGATTTTAGAAACTAAGGCTTGAACCCGAGGTGTTTTGGTTGATTTAGTGTTGTTTGAAGTGTTTTAATGATTGGAATAAGTTTGAATGAGGCATTGGGTTATGTTTGTGCTTTTGGTTGAGGTCCCGGGAGCCTCGGGGTGATTTCGGGTGGTCAACGTAGAGGTTGGAATTTTGTTGCAGCAGCTGAAATTGCAGCTTCTGGTATTTTCGCATCTGCGGATTGGGGACCGCAGATGCGGCGCCGCAGATGCGGGTGGTTTATCGCAGAAGCGAAAAGGGGTCAGATGAGCAGTTTCCGCAGAAGCGGTCAAGATGGCCGCATCTGCGAAGCCGCAGATGCGGAAGCTCTATCGCAGATGCGATTTTGGGGCCTTAAGTGAAAAATCGCAGAAGCAGCGGTTTGGCCGCAAATGCGGTACCGCAGAAGCGGATTTTGACCGCAGATGCGGAAAGGCCTAGGCAGACAATATATTTTATTTCATTTCGCGATTTTGGGTTATTTCACCATTGTTGCCTTTGACCTTGGAGCTTTTTGGGCGATTCTGAAGAGAGAAATCAAGAGACTTCGTTAAGGTAAGGAATTTTGGACCTAAAACTCAATTCTATGGTTGTATTTCAAGAATTTAGGGCTGTAACTAAAGGAATTAAGGGGCAAAAATGGAGGATTAGGGCTTGAGTTTAAGAGGCCTTTAAATGGGGATTTGAGGGGTCATTTGGACTCCGATTTTAGTATTTTTGATATGTATGAACTCGTAGGGAGACGAGGAATCTATTGATATAAAAATTTCTGAGTTTCGAGAAGTGGGCCCGGGGCTCGGGTTTTGGTTATTTCGGGATTTCTGCCCTTTATTGATTGTTTTCGCTTGGGCTTTGTTCCTATGACATATTTTGACGTCCTCGTTCTGATTTTGGATAGATTCGACGCGTGTGGAGGCCAATTCGAGGGGCAAAGGCGTTGCGAGCTAGAGATTTAGTCGGTTCGAGGTGAGTAATGATTGTAAATGATGTTCTGAGGGTTTGAAACCCCGGATTGCACATCGTAGTGCTATATTGAGGTGAGATACACGCTTGATGACGAGCGTGGGGCCGTGCACTATTGGGGATTGTGACTGGGTCCGTCCCGTACGACTGTTAAGTCGTGTATTTGATTTGAAATCTTATGATATTCCATATTTTAGAGATTTATATTATAATTTGGGCTGTATGCCATGTTTGGGGCCTTGTGCCGACCTGTTGAGACCCTTAGGGGCATTTTTACTATTTTTCCTCACTCTATTTGTTTGAAAGCATCACCTCAGTCATGTTCTACCTGTTTATTATTTAAAACTGGTTTTATCTCTTTACTTCTTAAAAAATGAGCCCCAAAATCGCGGATGAAACGAATTAAAACATTCTGCCCAGGCCTAACCGCATCTGCGGTCAAAATACCCGCTTCTGCGGTACCGCTTTTGCGGTTAACACTCCGCTTCTGTGGAAATCACTAAAGCCGGCCTCTGCCGCATTTGCGATCCATTATCCGTATTTGCGGTTCCGCAGATGCGGCCCCACAACCGCATTTGCGGTTTCTGATAATCCCCTCCATAACCGCTTCTGCGGCTTCTCCCTCGCACATGCGGCGCCGCACCTGCGGTGCCTAAACCGCAGGTGCGAAAATATCAGAAGCAGCAACTTCAACAGCTGCAACAGAATCCAATTTTTCTCCGTTAACCACCCGAAATCACCCCGAGGCTCCCGGGACCTCAACCAAAAGCACCAACACATCCTAAAACCTTACTCAAACTTGTTCCAATCCTCAAAACACCTCAAACAACATCAAATCATCTGAAACACATCGAATTTAAGCCTAAGATTGTTAGCAGCTATTATCTATGCCTTGAAGATTTGGGCACTATTTGTACAGTGTCCCTTGTGATATCTACACTGATCATCGGAGTTTCCAGCATCTGTTCAAACGAAAGTATCTTAACTTGCATCAGCGGAGGTGGTTGGAGCTGCTTAAGGATTATTACATCACTATTCTATACCATCGCGTGAAGGCCAATGTGGTGGCCGATTCCTTGAGTCATCGAGCGGAGAGTCTGGGGAGATAAGCATATCTACCAGCAGCATAGAGGCCATTGGCGTTGGATGTTCAGGCCTTGGCCAACCAGTT